GAAAAAGTTAGAGGACGGCAACAGCCGAAGGTGAGGTTTTTTCTTTTTTTGGCCCTTGTTGTGTGCCCCCCCCCCCCCTCTCCGCGCGTTTAAAAAGGTCACCCCCACCTCGTTGTTTATGAATGTAAACTCGGTTTGATTGCACCATAATTTCATTATCTGGTTCCTGGTGAGACATTCTTGTGTTGGTTAATATATAGACAATATACAAGTGTACTTGCGCAGACGAGGGATTTGCCAGCAAGGAGGCCATTTTATTTTAAAAAAAGTGGCCGAAACGAAAAGCTACCACAAGTTTTGACATTTTTCTACGGAAACAAATTTCGTACGTGAAACCTGTCCTTCACCGTCAGATTTTCATTTGCCTTCGATGATCAACGGGGTGCATGCAAGTGCACAGCTCTTCACTCGAGCAATCAAGCAACATCAGTCACAATCTGGTGGAAATTAGTTTCATCCGAATCGACGAAAGTCTAGAAAGTGTTCTGTGTAATTCATGTGGACTAGAAAAACAACGAGGTTCAGAATCTTCCCTCCTGAGGCATGGGCCGGTCTTTGGGGTTAAGGTACTCCAAAGAGGTCAACGATGCTGACCCCGACCAGAAGAGATGTTGGCTTTACTGGAGCTTTCTCTGGCTGCATGTAACATAGAGTACTGTCCCTCTCCCACCTGTTGCTGAGCACAGAAAGCTAGACGTCTTATGTATTTCCCTTGCCATACAAATTTGGATGTTAGGAGGCAAATTGTTATTACACAGGCAGATAGCCTCATTAACAAACAAACTGTGCCATATTCTGCTAAAATAAGCAGTTGAAAAATGCTACTAAATTTAGCAGGTCTGCTGATGTATCAGAATAAATAAATGTTAGGACATTTTTATAATTGCAGCAATCAAAAGTTTACTGCATACCTGAAGCTGCATGACATATTAAATCACAATCATGATCAGAAGGTCAAAGAGTGACTGGATCAGACAAAGTGCTTCACTCTTCATGCACAGAATCGCTCCGTTCTAGTGATGTCTTTGTTCACTCAGATTGACTTTCACAGACTTCTTTTGTCCACAACTGATGAAGACCTTACAGCATCAAGTTCAGGAAGAGCGTCGGGGACTTTGTGGTGACGGAAAAGAAATGATGACATATATTAGATGTAATAATTGCAACGTTCAACAATAAAACTGCAACGTCAGCTTTTCCTAAAAACCACCCGGCCTTCGTCTTGTTGTTTTCACGGCAGCGGAAATAAACTAAAGCAATCGGTCGACAACGGACGCCCTTGCGTTAAATTTTTTTGTGTTAATACTGTCAAAGCGCGATCAATGTACCGGCCCATGCCTCACCCTCACTAATCAGAACCAAATGTCTCTTTACTGCAGACCCAGATTGGCACGAGAACATCAGGTAGTTAGAAAAGGTGTCAACATGGACGCCTCTGTGTGAGAGCGGTTCCACCGATACAATTACCACTCTCCCGACCGGACTATCTGGTTCCGTATGTCCATCGAATCAACGGACACAGACGCTCGTTGTAATAAAACTGCATATTATACGCCGCACTCATGCACTTTCTACTGCAGATCCACAGGTAACAACAAAGTTTCTGCTTAAATGTTCACATCATTTAAAAAAAACAAAACAAAACAGTGTCCGTTGTATGTTAAACATGTTAACGGGACATTTGGCAACTTAACTTTCCTATTCCTGTTCGGTGTTTTATTGTATCTCATCCACGCACACGCACACACACTCACACACATTTATAAGTGCATGCTGTTCAAGTCAGGTTAGAAAAACAGACCAGAGTGTGTGAGGGCTGGCAGTGGGAGGGAAGATTAGCACAAGCATCCTATCACCTGCTCGTCTACAGCATGCTTAAACCGTGTTGGTTTAAGGTGAAAAAGGCTTGTGTGGAGCAAGACTACACAGATTTCTTTGCTAGCCTGGGATTGTAGCGGTTCAGCATAATTAAACCAGCCCTCTGAAAAAATCCAGTCCCATTAAAAAAGAAATAATAATAATAATATTAAATCAAAAACCTCTTCCCAGGATCTTTGAAGTCCCATTTGGCACCCAGTAGAGCAATCCTCTAAAAATCCAACACCTCAAGGTCTAAAGCTGAAGCCGCCTTTCAGTCAAAGGCCGGGGTTAAAAAAAAACAAGCTCACGCGTTTACGCCTGCACCAAAGGAAATTGCTACCATTTTCCTACCCATGATTCTCTGCTCATCTAGACAATGTAAGTGCCTCTCTGTTTTCGCTATTTGCGGTTTTGGCCCACACTTGGCACCTGTGCTTCTCAAGCTGTAGGGAGTTCTTTGAGCAGGCGAGAGAAAGAGGGAGGGATTAAAAAAAAAAAAAAAAGGTATGGGAGGTAGGGATTGTTGGACAAACTGTGGTTGCTTCACAGCAAATCTGCGGCAGCGCTTCTGCCGCCTTCCTTTACGCGTAAAGGCATTGTGATTTTTTTTTTCTTTTCTCAGCGGAGAGAAGTTCGTGAGTTATATAATGTTAGAAGTATAGCTGCCCAACCACAATTCTAGCCCTTACTTCTCCCGATTAAATGAAGGAAAACACTCGGACAAACGGATGGACGGACAAGAAGAAGGGCTTGAGAAAGCAGCTTTTACATCTCCATAAAAACTGCAGTATTGGTAAAACTGACGTACCTTTTTTTTTTTTTTTTTCTCCCCCTTCGCTGAGCGTATACAGTCAGTAAGAGCCAGCCTTAATACCTCTCGGAAAAGGTTGCAGTCCGCGGCTTATATTGTCAAGCTACAGTAAAGACAGAGAGAGAGTGATAGAAAGAGAGAGAGAGGGAGAGGGAGAGAGAGAGCTGCATGCAGAGAGAGCCGATGCTTCAACTGGTTAAAAAGGCAAAGATTCTCCCACTCCAACCAACCACTGGACGTCATGTTTCTACAGTGAGGAGGTATAAAGCAGGAAAAAAAAACAACCAAAAAAAAAAACAACGGGGAGATGGGACAACAACCGACAAGTAAGGACAGAGCAATAAAGTGAGGGTAAAGAAAGAATGAGGTTCGATTATTACAGTACGGGAAGGAACAGTGGGTTGTCCTTTACGTCTCTCTCCTTCTCTGTGTCCTCGCCACCTGAGAAGTCCTTGTCCACGCTCAACCAACGCATCGGGTCGGCTGTTCAAACCGACCGCTGACAAGGGCGGAGTCGGCCGCTTGAATCAAACGAAACAGCACAAATTGCTAGGAAAACAATCACTGGCCAGCAATAATGGTCTCAAAGCGACCGATTAACCAGCCAGCAAAGGCCGACCTAGCTCCAGTGAGCAACTGGATAGAAATTGTTTAAAAAATATAAATAAAAAAACAAACAAACAAAATAATAACTCGACCAGCTATCTTGGATGTTATTTAGATTGTTTTTTTTTTTTTTTTCCGTCAGAACAGAGCGAGATACTTTTGCTTATTTTCTTCCAAACCTGACTTCTGGCACCATAGTAGTATTTGAAGTTTTTAAGTAGTAGTCTCGTTGGCGTACGTTGGCAATGACGAACGGTGGCGAGGTCTAGGTGTCGAGGCAGGTGCGCCTCCTGCTGTCCAGGAGGTCTCTGTAAACGGAGGAGTTGAGGAAACGGGGGAAGGAGTCCCGGTGCATCAGGGTGTAGATCTGGAGCTGGGCCTCCTCGTACATCGTGTTGCTAGGCTCCGTCAAGCTCTGGTTTATTCCTTCTCTGACCCGAGAGTCCAGACTCACCTGGAGATAGGAGACGGTGTTATTCATCTACACCGGCAATCTCCGGCGTTCTTCACCGAGACACACACACACACACACACGGCGGCCCACCTCTTTGGGCGACAATATAGAGACGTAATCTTCGTATATAATCCTGGCCTTCTCATCCACCGCCGAGGGGTTGGTCTCCTTTTTCAACTCTTCGCAGGCCAACCAGAAAAGCAGGTTGTCCTCGCTGTACTCGGAGCGCAGGAAGTCTCGGAAGATCTCTCGGCCCTCCAGCGAGCGCAGCATCATCTCGAAGCTCCGTGCCCACGACAGCAACTCTTCTAAACTGGGACGTCTGCGGTGGGAGGGACAAGCGGCCGCAGGTTAGGAAAAAAACAAAACAAAACAGAGGCGCAAATAAAAACGTACGACGAAGGAGCCGGACTGCACTCACTGTTCTTCAGCAGCTTCAATACTGTCCATCTTGGTGCAGGTCTGCCGTTCGCTCCTCTCAATTCTGTCTTCATTCCTGTCGAATACACAAAGAAGAAATCATCGCATGCAGATAAATAACTGAATTGTCCACTTTTGGGATGAATAAAGTTGTTTTGACTTGATTTAAATAAGCACAAAGGCTTATTTCCAGCAGGTCAAATATAAACAGATCAGTTAAAATTCACGTAACTTGTCAGTGGAACGTAGTTTTCTGTATTTCAATAACATCACAAAGTCGCATCACAGTGAGAGAAATAAGCATTAGATTCATGTTGGCCCTCATAAAGAAATAAAAAGTCTCTATTTAATAGTTTTATTTTAATGTGTGGAAACAAAATCTAAACCCAAAAGTCCAGAAAAATCACATTGCACTAAAGCAAAAAAAAAAAAAGAATTACAACCAAGTCAATATTCTAATGTCCAAATACTGGCTATGTGATCACACTGAATAAATCCAGTATTGGATACTGATTATATGCATTAAGAGCACATCCACAGATTCATTTTCTTCCTTTCTGAAAGAAATGTCAAAGGACTTCAGGGAGAAGATGCTGTTCAGCTGGAAGCTTGGTGAGAAGATAAAAACTACTGATGTGGTTATTCATTAACAAAAATAAATAAAAAGGAAAAGGCCTTCCTGTAGGGTCAGGTCATAAAACAATAATAATAGCAATCATGATTAGCCACGTGGTCAAGTTCAATAGAAAATACGTCTGATGAATCA